AAAAGTTGGGTACCAAAAAGACAGGGGGTCTAGATAACCAAATCTCCGTCTCATCCACCCTACTTCTCGTTCTTGTCAGTTGTCATTGTGTGGGCACAGATGTTTCCATCTCTTCTCCAAAATCGCCATTCTACATTTCCTTCCTCACCGACGATAGTTCGAATCTCGTCGCAAATCACCGCCACCTCCATCTTTGTACCCTCCCGTCGATTAAGCTTCTGGATTAGGGATTGACAATCGGATTCCATAAATAGAGGCATGAAATGATGTGCTCAAGCAAGCTTTAATCCCCAGAGCAGTGCCTGAGCCTCCGCCATCTCATCCGGCCATTTCGTCCTCGTCCGGTAAGTCGCTCCCATATGAAAATTTCCAGCTCCATCCCTAATTACCAGACCATAACCTGTTCCCTCTTCTCCTAGGATCGCTGCATCTGTGTTCAATTTGAGGATTCCATCTGGAGGCGGTTCCCATTTGATCCGTGTTAGTGGTTGTGGGAGCGGTGTTCCTGGGTTTCCCGATGATTGCTGAGCTAGGTATTCCTCCAGGTAATTCTGAGCCCTTACCACTATGTCCCATTCTTCAAGTTTGGGATTATTGAATAAATGGTTGTTACGCTCCTTCCACATAAACCAAAGAGTTATCACCTTGGTTAGCTCTTCTAATTGCCCTATGAAAACTCGCTTTCGCTACGGCTCCGGTGGGTTTCCCTTAACCAAGCCACTGCCTTCGTCCCCTCGTGAAATACTAAGCTAGGTTGCTAGGTCGCCACACCCTCCCTGCCCAGTCACATTCCCTCGTAATGTGTTCTTGTGTTTCCACCAGACCACAGAAGGGACATTCATCATGTGCATCTTTAATGCTCCTGCTTAATTTCGTCTTGTCTTGACCCATTTTATCTTGACTATGCTCCGTATATATTTTTATTTCTTCTATTTTAGATTTAAAATTTTCTTAAATCGAACTTTCACTCAATAGAACTTTGAATAAATGAAAGACTTCATATTTCAACTAATTGTTTAATTACTCGGTATTTTATCTATATTTTTCATTTTATTAAACGTTTTACCTCGGTTTGACCACACCAATTAATTTGCAGCGCGGAACAATTAATGTGTGATGCAGTTTCACACCAATGTGATCTGGTTCCAACTGCATCAATGCCCACTCGTACCGTAATACGAACAGAGAAAGTAGGGGGCCAAGCCACTGGTGAGTGGTTGGTGACCCTTCAAAATGCTAAGGGTCACATAAAGAGGCTGACTTCTCTGTAATTTTCAAATCACAATTCCTAAGTGTCACATAAAGAGGCTGACTTCTTTGTAATTTTCAAATCTCAAAGGGGTTTTTTTTTAGTTAAGACTTTGGTGATTTGTAGTGTTTTTCTATTTCTTTTTCCCTTTTGGTTCATAATGACAAATTGAACCAAATCCATGGGCATCCAATCTACTTTGACCCGATCAAAGTGAGTTCAATCAGGTAATGATGAGATTCGGTCGGGAGCGAGTTTTGGCTTTTTGCAAGTATCCTTCCACTCCATCTCCAACAATATAATTCTATGTCCAACGTGCAATTTATAGCAGGGATGATAATTTTAATCTCAGTTTGTTAGTTCCTATTTGACTAAACGGATGAATGTCATTTAGAGTCAGCCTAGTTAGGAGTCCATCAACAGTTTCGTTTTCCACATCATCAAAAATCTGACGATGTTATTAGTGTCTGACGGAGACAGACAACCAGTAACTACTGATAAAACGATTCGTAAAGTTAATGACGAATAAGAAATAAAAACTTTTCGGGTGGCAAACGTAAGAGATTTGTATAATCTAAGTGACCAAACATATAATTTAGCCCTTTCCAACCCTTAGAATCTTATATATACTAACAAATAGACATCATATCAGACAACAACTAGTTATGAAAACGTGATAAAACAAGAGAACTTCGATTGCAAGTAACCCTTCACACCATCTGGATCAAGGTAACCCTTTTTTTACAAAAGATAATCATATATATTGATTGAAAAAATAGATCAGTACATCCTGGAACGAAGCCATGCCACAAAATCAAAAGACCGACACATTGTCGGGTACAAGGAAAGGGCCTTGCGAGCCACCAAATGGGTTGCCCTATTACTACATCGACCTACGAATCGCACCCTAAACCCTATATGCTCAGACAGATAGTTCAAAACTTCACGAAAAATGGCCCCAGCACGACTATCACTATCTTGAGTTTGGTTAAGTTTATCAATAACGATCTTAGCATCACCCTCGAACCGAACCACCCACAAACCTTTTTGAACGCACCACTAGATCGCCTCCCAAAGGACCAAGAGTAAAGGACCAAGAGTTCAAATAGCATGGGGTCACTCATCCCGGGGAAATGAACGGTTGTACCCCACATGATCACCCCATTGTGGTCTAGGCAGACCATCCCCCCAGCTGGAAGGGAGCCTTGTCTCGTCGTCCCATCCCACCTGCAGACCACAGTACCAGGGGAGGCAGGCGGCACGCCACCCACCCCAGCCAGCGGAGCGCGAACAATCTTCTCCTTAGTTAAAGTAGTCCACTCGTGCAATTGTTGTTGGTATTGTCTCAACAGAGCTGAGACCCCAAACTGTTTGCCATCAAAGACAGCCCATTTACGAGATTTCCATACCCGCCACAGCACAGCCACAAACGCTATTACTTGGTGCGGGTTATGGATGAGAGCCAACAGTTTCTTAAGGAACAGAGGGAACGTATGACGAGGGAGACCCTGGCCTAGATGCTCTAGGCCAACATGATCTTACAAAGCTCGGGCTACAGGGCACTCCAAAAAGAGATGCTCAATAGTTTTGAACTCTTCTCAACAAACCCGACAACAAGGATGCACCAGAATATTCTTCTCAATAAGGGCTTCCGTTGTGGGGAGGAAACGGTGAAAGGTTTGCCATAGAAAGACCTTCAGCATGGGAGGAATGGAGGAGTTCCACGGTCGGATCCAGCTTTGCGTGTCCATCCAGCTGACCGTGGGGCTCCACAGCAAAGTAACCCATTGCTGAAAGAATCTCCACAATGTAGGGTTTGGCCTTAAAGGAGGTCTTTATCTCAAATAAGCACTGTTATAAGAACCAAACTATTTCAATGATTGCGCCAGTAGAACCATCAAACCAGTCATGATAGCGGTCTGGTTCATTGTTTGGACGGTTATTGATAGACCAAATGATTTTTTCACTATTCAACATAAAACCAGATAAACCATCATGGTTTAACTAGTCCATCTTTTCACTATTTTAACCACAAAATTAAAAGAAAAATACTTTAACATAAACTAAGACCATCAAACCATAGTTATTAATTTTATTTCTGATTCCTCTTCTCATTTTCCAACCTTGTTGTCGACTTTACGTTGTCCAATACAGACTGGCACTGTAATAATTAATTTGAATTAAAAAAAATTATCATTTCTTTTGTGATACAATTTGAATTATTCTGATTTATTATATATTTTGGTGTTGTTCAATGTTAACTTCATTATTACGGTAAGGGTTAATACCTTATTTTGGCCCGAACATGATCATATAATCAACTTTGGCCCGTGTTTTCAGAAATTAACATCATAACCTCAACTATGCAGCATATAGACTCAATTAGCCTGACACATGGTTTGACCGTCAATTTGGATGGTCAACACCGTTGACCGTTAGTCAACACGCCATTTCATTGGCTCGTCAGCCTAAAAATTATTAAAAAAATTAATTTCAAATTAATTTTCTAATTTCTATTATTTATCATTTTCAAATTAACTAAAAAATAAAATTTATAATTGATTTTTTGGGATATTTGAAAATGATAAATTTTATAAATTAACCAAAAATTATCAAATTAAATTTTATAAATTTAAAATATATGATATTAGTTCTATATTTCATTTTTGGGTAATGTTAAATATATAAAATAATTTGATAATTTTTGGTTATTTTATAAAATTAATCATTTTAAAATTACACAAAAAAAAAATAAATTTATTTTATGCTTTTATAAATTATTTTTTGTTAATTTGATTATAAATAATAAAAAGTTAAAAAATAGTTTGAATTTGAATTTTTTAATGATTCTTAGGCTGACGAGGCAATGACATGGCGTGTTGACTAACGGTCAATGGTGTTGACCATCCAAATTGACAGTCAAACTAGGTGTCGGGCCAATTGAGTCTATATATTACATAGTTGAGGTCAGGATGTGAATTTATGAAACCACGGGCCAAAGTTGATTATATGGTCATAGTTCAGGCCAAAATAAGGTATTAACCCTTACTGCAACATACAAGTCTTGTATGTTATATATCTTGAACGATTCTATCAACAATTAATCAACGGTTTTGCAACAGTTAACCACTAAACCCTATACCATTAACTTTTCCGGTACAAACTCTGGTTCGGTTCTGATAACAGAGCAAATAAGTCAGCGCCTCAGTCCTCAATTCTATGCTTATAACATGAAACATCTCTCGATAAAATCGTTTTAAGTCTAATCTATTGATTTTACAGAATCCATCTAATTCCAAATCTTTCATCCAAACCAACCCTAGCCATTTGATTTTTCTCCATGCAACAGAGTGGAGTTCTATCTCAACTCTTAAATTGATTTGGAGAATAAGTCTTATTTTACAGGCACAAACAAACAAAATGTTAAGAGAACTCTAATTGCAAATGAGGCAACACTCCCTGGCCTCTACCATGCAATCCATTGTCATCATTTAGATCTCCAACGAGCTAACCCCTTAGCTAGCAGGATCCCTGCTTTTACCTCCTCGCTGTAGGACTTTGGCCTTCAAGGACACGTCTTGGTCTCGAAGATGTCATGGCCTGCAATAGTGCTACCTCAGTCCTTAATTCTATGTTAATCTATTGATTTTACATGATTCTCTACTCCCAAATCTTTCATTCGGACCACTTTGATTTTTTCTCTATGCAACTGAGTAGAACTCAATAGTTCTATCTCCAAATAAGTTTGGAGCATTAGCGTTCAGTTAGAAGTAATAACAAAACAAAATGTTAAGGCTGAACAAGAAACAAAAGCCATCACATCTCCAAAATCTAAACAGAGCTATAGATCAAACTTCCTTGCATGATTTACAGGAACAAAGGAGTAACTAGGACCATGAAATCTTACAGAAGCCGTGATTCATGGAAGATGGTCCCAACGGCAGGAAGAGTGAAGCTACAAAGTGTCAGCCTCGTCATCTGAATTATATATGACCTCTGCCTCTTTAGAAGCACGCTTATATTGTGTCACGTTCTTCAAGAACTTGTGACCCTTTTTGGAGTCTAATTCTTTCGCCGGCTTCATGTAAATCCTACGAAGCAGTGGGGCAGTGGCTAGTGCAAACCTCAACAGGTCCAGCTCTACCTTGTTACCCAGGATTGCATCTAACCTCAACTCTTCAAGGCACTGGAAACAACTCGCAGTAGAATGGTTATCTGCTTCCAACAACAACTGTAGGCTGTCAATCGCCTCTGTTTGCGGAAGGCCAGGGGCAGAGCTAGACTACAACATCATTCATCAAGAAAAAAGAATTAGGCTATAGAATTTACAGCAATACTCACATTTACTACTTGCACCAACTAAAAATTTCAATTCACAAGACAACTAAACCAACCCAAATGCTGAGATTTTGCAAGTTCGGTGAGCTCGTGATTAAACAAACAAGCACACGTGCTTCCGACAAACGATATAGCACAATGCTTTCAAGTTGGACGGCTTTCAGTTGGTGAAGAAGTGTAGGAAGGATGAAGGGGACATTCCCTGAGGCAAAGAACTGGAGAGTAAACCAAAAGATGTGTTATAGATGTATAGCACAAAATTGATATGAGCAGATATATCTTCTCATTAAGCAGATTAAAACTTACTTGCAGCAACTCAGCACCAACAACTAACTTCTGGATTGCACGGAGAGAAGCAAATGCAGCTACCATATCCGGATTATACTCGTTAAAGTTGCTATGTTCACAATGCTTTACATTAGAATAATTTCCTATAGATACCACTGAGAGAAGTGGGGTATGCTTGAAGCAGATATTCCATACATTGGATTCAAACACTTTCAGAGAAGGAGCTACTAATTCAGCCTTGAAATGGGATTCCACAGCAGCCGAGCCGCAAGTATAAAGCATCAAACTTTGGAGAAGCGGGCATTTGGGAAGGAAATCGCCGTAAAAATTGGGGGAAACAATTACATGAGTTAGGTCAAGAAAGGTTAGGTTACTAAAACCCAAAAACCAAGATGGTGCTGTAAATTCACAACCATGCAGTTTCAAACAGTTGAGCTGGCGAGCAGAAAACAGGGCAGGAGGAACCTTGCCGTCAATTGCTGGGTAACCGTCGTCGTCAAGGTGATGAGAAAAGGCCAAGAGGAATTCCTGGACGTGTTTCTTGGAGAGGTAGACCACAATGAGATCCATGATGTCAGGACATGGCTTCAATCCGGGGATTATGAGCTCGAACTTGGTTATGGGTCCATCAGGAACCAGTAGAGCTTTGAAAATCTCCAACATTAATGGCTTGCTCGAATGCAACGCATAAAGTTCTGTTTTGGACATCCGACTGAAATCGCGATCGAACACGAGTTGAGTATTCGCTCTCCAATTCTCCCGCCATTGTTTTGACAGTGTAGCTGTTTTGGCTGCATCTTTTACAGGTAAGAATGTGAGAATGAGCTGCATCACATCGCGAGGGAGGTTGCTAATCCTATCGGCATTGGACCCGCACCAGCCCTTCATTCTAGGCTAGCTATGCCTTGCTTGCACTGGACTCTCGCAAGAGACGAAGAATCGTAGAACCCTAACTCACTTTTTCTGTCCGCAGGGCAGTTGAGTTCCCAGTAAACTACCATTTCGGTCCTCTGATAGGGATGGCAATGGGTCGGGTCGGTCACGAATAGTGCATATCCATTATCCTACCCAAAGTAGTTCGGGTTTTACCCATACCAGTACCCACATAAAAAACGGGTAGAAAATTCAAACAATGCCCGTACCCGTTCGGGTTTCGGGTATCGACGGTTATCCATGGATAGTAATTTCTCTTTATAACTCCAACCAATATGTTAATATTCACACGTATTCTCACGTTACGTAAGACGAAAAGTACGACAATAATTCACTAGAATGAAGAAAATTAATTTAAACAACACAATTTCATAAAAATATTATATTTATATGCTAGATATAAAATATGTTAGAGAAAAATATTGGTTATTTCTAGATAAAATACATATGCATGTGTATAATCGGGCGGGTTCGGGTTGGATAGTGAGAAAATCATGTTCACTCATTACCCGCAATATTCAAGTTTGGGTTTTACCCGTACGGCCGTACCCATTAAAAGTCCTTCGGGTTCAAGTTTTACCCTACCCAATTAAATCGGATTCGGACGGATATCCACAATTACGAATATTTTTGTCATCCCTATACTTTAACTTACCTCTGTTTCCTTTCCAGCACCCTCAATTAGCAATCCCCTACAGTTTATCTTGGATTTTCTGTCCAATCCCTTCCCTTCATAGTTTACCACTACAATTTTCTTAAAATTCACATTCATTAAATGAATAAATCCAAAGAGCGGTTGTGGTTATGAATCAATTTTACTATTTCCTCAAAATTCCATACCATCAATTCCACAAAAATAATCTCTTTCCAAACATGGTTTCCGCTCAATTTGCACAAGATAATTCTTTGATTTTGTAGGATGTGGAAATTAAGGTCAAAATTTCCACAGCCAAACCAACCCTTAACCACATTTCCTATTCAGAGCCTATAACTTTTAATTTCTCTGTACAAGCCCCTGAAGTCATCCTTTTGGTTTCTTCTTTCCAAGCCCTTCCCCTTCTTCCAGATTATAACGCCATTAGTTTCTCCTAAATCAGTTTGCCGCTTCATCAACACTTCGAGTCCTCGACCTTCACCACTAGCCGCAACAATCTGTTTCTTTCTCAGGATATCAACACTAAGTAAAACCAGAAGCCCGAACCAACTAAACAATAACTAAAGTAGTATCATGACAATTCTAAAGGCATTAGAGTCCCTTATCGGTTCACAGGTATATGACTTTAAAATCTCTAGAAACATGCTTAATTCTACCATGGTACCTACTCCAAAATTTCGGGAGTCCAATCTATTCATGTTACAGATCCCATCTATCTACAAATCTTCCATTCAAAACACCTTTAGCCTTTAGCGTTTTCTTCATGCAACGTGGTAGAACCTAACAGTTCTATCAATAGGGGATCAAGTCTAATTCCAGGTGCAACAACTGATCACAGCAAACAAACTGTTAAGGCTAAACAAGTAACAGTAACCTTATGACAAGAAAAAAACAGTAACCCTTCATCACCAAAAATCACATTGAACCATTGATTACATATCCTCAAGTCATTTAGAAATAATGATGAGCTGTACTGTAATGTCAAAGAAATAAGTGAAAGACGAACCAGAGGGATGGAGAGAGTAAGCTACAAGCTACTAGCCTTACTGGTCGAAAGAGCTATGACCAAGAAATCCTCCTTGTTCAAACACATATGACCTCAGCTTCTGTGGAAGCACGCTTATATCGTGTCACCTTCGTCAAGAATTCAAAACCCTCTTGGTAGTCCAAATCTTCTTCCATAGTAAGGAAAACCCGACGAAGCCGAGGGGCAGAAGTTAGAACTAACCTCACCAGGTCCAGCTCAACCTGTGCACCGTCACAGCCATACATGTCAAACTCTTCAAGGCACTGAAAATAGCTCGCAGGAGGGAAGTCCTCTGCTTCTATCAGTAACTGTAAGCTGTCAATAAACTTTGTTGGCCTAAAGGAGTGGGCATCGCTGGGCTACAAAAACATTCATGAATAAGAAAAAGGGTCAAGCTATATAATTAACAGCAATTCTGACATAGTGACATATGCTTTGTAACTAAAGTTTTCACTTCAATAAGACATTTAAACCCAACCCAAATGCGGAGCCTTTGCAAGTTGGGGGAACTCATGATTAGACAAAGAAGAACGCGTGCTTCCAATGAACTGTTTAGTTCAATGCTGGCCACTTCGAGGAGTGTCAGTTGACGAAGATGTGTAGGAAGCATGGAGGGGATAGTACCTGAGGCAAAGAACTAGAGAGCAAAACAAAAGACCTGTTATATTAAAAATATAGAGCAGCATTATGATAGTGAAGTAGTGAACAAGGTATTAGAGACAGCCAGACGGTTACTGAAATGAAAGCACATTATAACTTACCTGCAGCCATTCCCCGCCAACACTTAAATGCTGGATTGCAGGGAGAGAAGCAAATACAGCTGCAATATCCGGATCATACACACGAAAGTCGCATTGTGTATAATCCTCGTACAGTGGTTCGATAGAGACCACTGAAAGAAGCGGGGTATGCTTGAAGCAGATATTCCACACATTGGATGCAAGAAATTTCAGAGAAGGAGCTACCAATTCAGCCTTCAAACAAGACTCGATCGCATTCGAGTCCCGGACACCAAGTGTCAAGTGCTCGAGAAGAGGGCACTTGGGAAGGAAATCGTCATAAAAACTAGAGTCCACATTCACGCTTACTAACCAAAGATGGGTAAGCTTAGTGAATCCCAGAAACCAGGATGGTGCCCAAGAAAAATCACAATTCCGCATTTTCAGAAAGCTGAGTTGGCGAGCAGAAAACAAGGAGGAAGGCATCTCGCGCCCAACCTTTGTTTGGCCGTTGTTAACTTCGTCGTCGTCGAAGATAAGGGTGAGTTCGTGGACACCTTTCTTGGCGAGGAATTGAACCATGTGGTTGATATCAGGAGAAGGCCGCCTTAATCCAGGGATTTCAAGCACGAACTTGGTTATGGGTCCATCATGAACCAGCAAAGCTTTGTAAATCTGCAACATCAGTCTACTCACATTCGAATCATAGTTTCCCTCTTTTGAGATTCGGCCGAAATGGGCATCGAACACCAGTTGGGTAGTTGCTCCCCAGTTGTGTCTCCATTGTTTTGACAGTGCAGCTGTTTTGGCTGCATCTTTTACGGGTAAGAACGTGATAATGCGCTGCATCACATCGTGGGGGAGGTTGCTAATTCTATCGGCATTGCACCCGAGCAGCGCCTTCATACTGGCTAAGCTATGTGTTCCACGCACTGAACTTTCTAATAGACGTAGAAATTATGAACCCTAATCCCCATTTCTTTCGTCTACACGGGGCTGCTTTTATCGATTAAAAATTACCATTTCAGACCTCCAACTTAGCCCCGGTCTCTATACAAATACCTGAACTAGAGATTATTATGTATAACATCATGAAGAGTTATCTTTTTGGTTTTATGTTTTATCTGACAAAGACTCTCTTTTATAGTTGTCACATTGGTGGAATTCTGACCAGTTGAAACTAGGGATGGTAATGGGGCGGGTTTTTCTAAACCATCCTCATCCCCGCTTTCAAATATTCATACTCATACCCGCCTCATACCCATACGGGGGAAGGTTTTGCAAACTCATCCCCATACACATGGGTAATACCCGCCCCATACATCCAACATTATAATACCTAATATTTTACATGTAGATTTCAAATTATAACATTAAACGTACCCACTATATCATGAAGTCGACAAATAGAGAATCATTTTTAATACGGTTTAAAGAATCTTATCCTAAAACATCCATTAATCCATAAGATAGAGTACAATGTAATCCAAATCATTATTCACTACTTTGATATATCTATTGAGTAATAACTAACTAACATAATCTTGTTAATAAGGGGAAAAAGTGATATAGTAAAGGGAAAATTAAGAGAAAGAAATTAGATTTTGATTAGGGTGACCACTCAGTTATATTTATACTATATATTTTCTTGAGTTGTACTCACTATTATTGATAGATTAAAAATTGATTCACATATTTTTCATATGTGAAGAAATACTTTTGGTGGGGCGGGTATGGGTATGGGGCGGGGAGGCTAAAACCATACCCACCCCATACCCATCAAACTCTTTGCGGGTTTTACCCATACCCAGTTAATGCGGGTATTCCCCGCGTTGACTGGGTTGGGGGCGGTCGGATACCCGTGGGTATGGGTTTGATTGTCATCCTAAATTTAAACTGGTTCATTGGTTTTGGTTATAAAACCGACATGAATGCCACTAGTTTGGTTGTTAAGATCAATTTTTTGCTTATAAATAAAATGATGTCGTTTATTTAATTAAATTAATAAAAAAATTGTGATTTGTTTCATGAGATTTTATTTTAAATTTTTATATTATTTGTTGGATTTAAGTATAGAACTTTGGGTGTTGATCTCAAATGTAGTATTTAAGTATGAGTATTTGTTATTTGGTTTGAAATGTATTTTATTTCAATATGAATATAGATTGTAAGTAATTGTCTTTGAATATGTTTCATACATGTTAAAATTCATTTGATGTTAATGGATTTTTGTATTTGCACATATTTTATTAAAGCAGTTGTATCAGCACAAACCACTTGTATCACCGCTCGAGCCATACCACTTACTAAACCGGCACCATGAAATAAATGGGTTTGACAACCTTGCTCCCTTCGTTTCCTTGAGTTGACGTTACAAGACTATCTCCAATCCACCTGAACATAATGGAAGTTTAGTTCAACTCTAAAATTGAAAAACACGAGAGGTCATCAATCCTTGTATATAGAGATTCATGGTTCAATATGAAGCCGTGCAGAGATGGAAGGCCTCAAGGAAAGTTATCATAGTAGTATAGTACATCCTAAAAGAAAAAACCATGCAAGAATAAACCCAAAACAAACAAGCTACAACCTCTTGGAGAAATTTTACAATGCTATATAGCATTGGTGCTATAAGTTTTTGCATTTATGGTACAACTTCAAGTTGTACCTTTAACGTTATGGTATAACTTTAGTTTGTACCTATACTATTTTACAAATTCTTTTATGGTACAACTTGAACTTGTACTTTTATGTGATGGTACAACTTAAAGTTGTGAAGTTGTACTATAACATAAGAGTACAAATTCTTTTATGGTACAACCCAAACTTATACATTTTACGTTATGGTACAACTTTAAGTTGTACATTAAAGTACCCATAGTAGAAGTGCTCCAACCTCTTGTAGTAAAGGATTGTGATGTTACATAAAAACTAAGGAATATGATTGAAGGGGGGAAAATTAACGATGTCAACCAAACTATTTGAACAATATTACTTATAATTTCAAGCGAACAATATCTGTATTGCTTGTCCATAAAATCTAGCTACAATTGGTTTAGGGATGAAGAAGGGCTGGGGATTGTGGTGGTGACAGATAGAATGACGGCGAGGGTGGGTGAGCTTTGAACACGTTTATCATTTATGAAATTACCCCGACTGTTTTTGAACCAACAACTTAAGACGGACCGTTGTTGCATATATATAGTAGTAGTACATTATTATCGGCCGGAGACACGAGCATTGTTATCGGCCGGAGACGAAGCCACACAGAGCAGCAGAAGTCGCAAATGGAGGGAGCCAAAGGAGAATTGAAGCATGTAGTGGTCGTAAAGTTCAAAAAAGGCATTCCACCACATGAAATCGAGCAACACATCAAGGACTACGCCAATCTTATCAATCTCATCCCGTCCATGAAGTCCTTCCACTGGTAAACCAAACCTTCATTTGGCTCATTACAATGACATCTCATCAAAGTTTCATCTTCTGCAAACACACTCATGGTCTTGCTAAACAGGGGGAGAGACGTAGGAGTCTGTGGCATGGATGAAGGGTACACCCACATATTTGAGTGCACATTCGAGAGCCAACAGGACGTCGTTGAGTACATGGCTCATCCTTCTCACCGTGAATTTGCAGACTTGTTCATCCCTAAACTCGACAAGTTCCTCATCATCGATTACAAGCCCACACTTGTTCATCCTTGATTGATTGGGAGATCATTGAATTGTAATGCCATTTGCCAACCTATAGATCAATCCCTTGGGTTCAATAAAAGTCACTGTTATATGTGATCTCTCTTCATAAATGTTGATAGTCAGTCCAAGTAATTAGAAAACGTCGACAAAAGAGAGTCTCAGACATCCAAGGAAGGAGGAAATGAGCAGCATTAGCTCTCAAGCCCGGCGAAAGGCGAAAGCTCTTAGTCGGCCACTGCGAATGTTCTTTGAGAAACAAGCCTTTGGATTTGTCATCATCAACTACTACCCTCAAAGGATCAAGACAGCAATGCAACAAATTTAGACTTAAAAAAAACAGAGCATTGAGAGAAATCGAATGTATCATCACTTACTGAGCCTAGAGACACGAGAGAAACAGGCTCACCCAAAGTCAATGAACAAGTGCTCTTCCTGAGGTATACGAGAGATCTGTTCAACGAAATTAAACAGAACCCTTGTTTTCCAAATTTTCCACCAGGGTATTGATTTTCACCAAAATAAATTAAAAAACAGAGATAACCCATGAGAGGAACATAGAAAAGAGGAGGTCGCAAGGCTGTACGTACATACATCTCTTCCATCTAAATCTATTGATGGAATTCAATGGAATGGGAGGAATTGGTAAAAGAAAATGTCACGGAGAAAAGGGATCGACGATTCTCTACTCTGCGGATCGATTTCTTTCCAATCCACCCCTTCCGATGATTTCCTCAACATATAATCGCAATGCAAATTATGAGCGTAAACTGATCGCCAGATCAATGGAAGAGATGAGACGGGTTAGTGGATTGGGGCGCGATATTATATATGTGGTGAAGAGGAGCGGCTTAGGGTTTACAAAGACGGAGGCAAGGCAACAGAAGCGTACAGCCGTACACGGCGAAAGCGAAAGTGATTCGGGCCGGACCGTGACTCGATAGCTATCACTCCAGGCCTGGGTCAACATTGGGTTTGGCCCATGGGGCACGACCTGTTGAATGTTGATGGATAATTATTTTCCACCAAAGAGGAAAAAGGATTGGAATGGATTAAATCTAAAAATGAGTCAATTTAATCAATTGTCTCGTTTTATAAACGAGACAATTAAAAAGAGCCAATTCGAATTACTTGCTCCCATCCTAGGTAATTGAAATTGACTCAAAACGGATCAATTCAAAATACCTCAGGCAGATTGATCCATCCAATTTTTTTGCTGGCAAACGAGGCATTTTGGTACAATTGTCTCAAAACGAGACAATTGTGTCAAATTGATCCGTTACAATTCCTCATCCAAACGACCCCTTCGTCTTTGTTTGTCACGAAGCATTAGGTCGCACACTTTACTTTGCAAATTGACTAATTTGTGATTTCGTTGTTGACCATGAAATCATGTCTATATTTGGTTCAGTATTTAGAAATATTTTTATACTTGGTCCATGAAACCGTATCGTACAGGCGGTTCAGCCATAAAATATCAATATTGGAGGCTAAACAGGTAGGTGGTATTTAACGGTACTAACGGTTGAACTACGATTGAATCACGATTTTGTCATAAAATACGCTACCACTGACTTTTCCGGTACGATCTCCGGTACAGTTTCATGAAACATGCTTCAAAACTGAAGTCCGGCCCAAACAACTCTAAAATCTCGTCTTTAGAAAAAATTGAAAAATACTTTATATCATTAAAATAGGAGTTATTATTATTATTATTATTATTATTATTATTATTATTATTATTTTCCAAGGCAAGCCCAGAGGGCATGGGACAAAGACTCGACTCAGGTACAAGTAGATTCCAAAAAAGGACGGTAATCCGTAAGCAAGCGGATTCCCGATGAAAGAGCCTGATTAGCCACTACATGGGCAGCTCTGTTAAAGCTCCGAGGAGCAAAAAGACACGACACTGACTCAAAAAAGGAGAAAAAGGAGTGAACTTCCTCCAAGACGGCCCCTGCTCGAGAGTGAGAAGCTTTCTTTGCCATAGCGTGCTTGATAACCAGTTGAGCGTCTCCACAAAATGCAACCACCAAAAAATTATGTGTTAAGCACCATCTCATAGCGTCTCTAAGAGCTAGAAGCTCGGAAATGTAAGCCTCCGAAATTCCTTCATAATATTTACCAAAAGCAAAGGATAACGTACCGTCTCTCGAGAATCCCGCAAATCCGATGGAGCCTCCTTGGTTTTTCTTCATGGCTCCGTCAAATCTCACAAGGATACCGTTATTAGGGCATATAACATCTGGATGACTCCTTCGAGGTCCTGTTTGATTGTTAGGGTTCGCCGATGATCTCTGAACACTGTCCCTCCGACGTTCGCCATTCCTCTATATGCGCTGTTAGTTGTCGGAACAAAACTCGAGCTTGAAGTAATACTAAAGCATAAGTAGCTTTGCATCTTCCTTTCCAAATTCGCCAGAATAGGAAGACCGTATCGGCAATCTCGATCTTGGAGATGTGAGCAGCGCATAATAGATTTTTCCATGCCAGATCTGGTTGGAAGGAGCGCATAGATTTTTCTCAAATTAAATTATTATTATTATTATTATTATTTATTAAGTGGGAGTATAGGAGTTCTTATTTGAACCTTATGTAAAATGTTGTTGTGAGAGTACAATATTATTGTTATCATTTTTTCAAGAGAATATACTTTTCACTCATTTATGTAATTTTAAAAATAAAAAGTAAAAAACTATTATTTGATATAAAATAAATCTAACAACATCCATTTAAACTACATTTTAATTTTTATTCATATTTTATATTAGAAATCCTTTTTATACATTTTACATAAAAAAGAACTTTAAAAATGGGTTGAACTTGCATGATCAAGAAATGAAGAGATTTAATGATGCGTTGGTAGAAAGAAAGGAAGAGAATAAGTGCTTGTTATCCACCAATATATTAATTACATCATGGACGGTAGAGCACACCGTGTTACAGACTTGCACCATTATGAACAAAGTAAGTTGAGCTCAATGAGCTCTGTTCCAAACTGCTCCTTGATTTCAGCCTTCAATTCAACAACTTAGATTGTGCATTATCTATCAACTATCAGTGAAGTATGTTCAAAATGTTGAATACGATATGTAAGGATCTGGGCTTGAAATATCTACACAGTTTTTTTTTACTGCAAAACTCTGAATCTATTACACGAGGAAGCCTACCCCGGTCATCAACTTCTTTGCTCAACTTCTTTGCTCTAGAGTCACAGGTAGTTCCAAGTTCTCCCCACTTCTCTGAATCTTCAACACTACTTCGTCCCCGACATTGTAATCATCCAATACTCTGTCCAACTCTGTTTTGCTTTTCACCTGATTGCATAATGCAGCATTTATTAGTCGATTCAGATTCTAGATGGCGTCTGAACTTTAAGAAACCCAGTAAGAAAATGCGTTACCGGTTTATTGTCCACTGCAACAATGACGTCGCCTAATACTATGTTCCCAGCGAACCCTCTTGTGGTTGGAAGTAGGCCAGCCTTGGCAGCAAGACTATTAGTAGGAACCTAAATGCACCACAACAATAAGACTACATTTCATCAGCATGACACTGTGTCATCGTTCAAATGGTCATTCAATCAAAGGAAAGTGCAATATTCTATCAATGGATGGAAAATAGGCCACATTCCATCGTCATATTTTGCCATCCAAACGACCCCTAAAGACAAGACGACAGAATTCAACAAAATAACGCAGAAGATATGCAAATGAAACTTAAAGAAACATATACACGCACCTGCAAAATTAGGGCACCATTACGAACAGTGAGTTGACTCGCAACTGGATCAGGAGCAATGTCCACATTCAAACCAGCTCGAACAGCCTAATTTAAAAATGGGGACAAGATGTATTATCATTCTTCACATGCAGTTGTCCACAATAATGGGGGGAAAGAAAAGAAACGTAATACTTACTTTACCGAATTTAATTAACTGGGGTACAATCTTGGCCACGGTTGAAGATGGAATGGCAAACCCTACTCCAGCTGATGTCCCTGTACACCAACACAACAAATCACCATGCACAAATAAACACTAAGATTTTAGCGCCCTTTATGGTTTCGTATTGGACTATGACATGCCAATTTGAGTATTTGACCAACGTTGCATTTCTAAGGATGAGGTGTCTCAGATAGACAAGTATGGCAAGACGTACCTGTCTGAGTAAATATTGCTGTATTAATCCCAATCAAGTTTCCTTTGGAATCCAACAAAGGGCCGCCACTGTCACAATAGCATGAATTAACCAATTAAAACCCCACAGCCCAAAAATGATATTTGCTTCTCAAGGAATCCAACAAAGGGCCGCCACTGTCACTAACTGAAATGAAAATTTTGTAACTGTTGTATGATGGGATCAAAAGAATTGGAAAGGCACCATGACAGTGGACTAACCTATTCCCTGGGTTGATAGCAGCATCTGTTTGAATTCCACCACTAATCGTTACCCCAGTTTGGCTAAAAATATCTCGATTAAGCCCACTAATAACTCCCACAGTGAGTGTGTGGTCGAAACCAAAAGGATTTCCAATTGCTAGGCATTGTTGTCCAACCCTCACAGAAGAAGATTCCCCCAGCTTTGTCGGTTTCAATAGATCTTCAGGTGCTTCTACCTATCAGAAATCACAATGGCTGACAGATATATGAGAGCAAAGAGCCATTAACTTTAACATATAGCTTTCACTCACTTCAGACTGAACCCAATCTAGTTAATTTTGGTCAGTCGCATTGCTCTGACGTTAAAATATGAAAGGAAGATGCCAAGAATAACTTAAAGGTCATTTATTACAGAACATTCATTTAACAAATGACTGCTGCATATATGCAATGACTTTATGACTTCACATATAAAGTTGATCTGTTATGTCTTCTACCTCGTAGATCACTTGAGCACTCAACCTAAAGAATAATCCCACACTGGCCAGTTGGCTTGTTGAAAACTGATTTAAATATCCTTTTGTCACTAATTTTCATGATAAGCAGGAAAATGTCATGATATCATACCTGCAATACAGCAAGGTCCTTAGCACGGTCGGCACCAATCAGCCTTCCCTCAAAATTCTTCTGAATCCTTTTAGCATAGCACAAACAGTGAGGACTTTGAATCCAGAAAAATCTTATGCCACCAGTATTTTGAACTTAGGTGAGTTACTAGGACCAGATATCATAGGCCAAACTGCAAGCAAAGGGCACTAAACATCTCACCCCTCTGATGTCAGAATATTTACTCTTGCAACAACTTGACCAGGACTCGGATTTCTTGAAAGTGAATTACCTATCACTGGTAATATCCACAATAGGATGAATCACTTTAAACATATAGTAATCCATTAATCCAAAAGGATTCAATATCATATATACAGTTAAAAAAAATGTTCACTTGCATATTGGTGTAATTCTCATGTTGAGAACAAAATCAACGCAAAAACGAACCACACAATAATGCAGAAATTATCATGACTTGGATTTTCAAAAGACCGTGAAACGTAATAAGTTTGAGGGTTGACATGTCATTTGCAGAAACTACCAGGAATATTGCATGCGGCAATTCGAACAAAAGCGGAGCAAAAGATAAACATCACCAATTCACATAATTAATACTAAATGAATTGCCAAACAAACAAGATTTCATTTTTTGACATTACCATGGTAATTTGTGACAACATGCCCCTGCCTGTCCCAGATAACACCAGAACCATTTCCTTCGGGAATCTGCAAGGAGGAGTTACAGCCATTATAAAAACAATTCACATTAGCAACTTTGAATTGCATAAATGACATAATCATCAACATACCAATGCTTGATGAAGGATTCATAAAAAAATGCTTGATGAAGGAAAAAATGAAGGGTGTCCCAGCGCATTGTCAAGCTTCAAGGCATTTGAATGTCCTTGATACCATGTAATTAACCAACACAAGATTACATAATGAATTACCTCAACAACACCAGTCATTTTTAGCTGTGGGCGCAAAGTCACATCAAAGATATTGACAACCGAGTATGTATTGCCTTCAAACAGCCTGACAACTCTTTCCTGCCAATTAAAGACAACGTGGTAAAACATACAATATGAAAGGCGTCAAGGGATCGATTAAAACACATGGAAAAAATTGTAAGGTTCAGAATGAACCTCTGTAGGAAAGAGTGCTCCAGGGCCAATAACAGGAGGAGTTACTTGTTCGAGCGTCATCGAAGGATCCCCCAATGCTTTTGCTGTGATCCAAGAATTTATCAGATAATATAAGCTTATGATTTGCAATAATTCAGAAAGGTTAACAGGCAAGTCATCCTCAATGAATATTAGGAATCTGATAGAATGACTTCACATTATGAATTCGAATGTCAATAGCGGATGCTTTCTGTCCATTCATTTTTATGTTGTGAACAAGTGATTTTACAGGCCTAGAACCTTATATGGAATATTGGAAATGCTTATGTCCTGGAATCAGTAACCTGATTACACCTTAAGACTTCTCAAAGAAGAGATGTTCCCTAGTCCTGGACTCCTGGTCGATCCCTAGTATAATTAACCAAAACACATGCATAGTCACCAGCTCTTTTAATGGACAAGTACGTTCACAAGTAAAAAAAAAAAAAAAAAATTGGTTTGCTACACATCCTATTATTGTTAACTTAAAACCATCTTGGATGATCTACATCTATCATAAACAAACTACAAATTTGATTGGGTTTCAAGACAGGACAAAGATGAGTTGTTCAGACCTGGCATGTATCTTGGAGGATTGCAACATAGAAGCACTGAAATACTTGCGAGTAGCATCCGCCTTTTCATCATGTCAGGCGTTGCTCCTTCGACTAAGCCTTGGACTCCATCTCTAAACATCCATAGAAGAGGCAAATTTACATGAATGATGATGAAATTTAATAGAAACCTCAAACCACGATTCATTATGTTCTTAAACAGGAGAAAAATGAAAAGAAAAATCGAGTGTTCTCCTGAGAACCCAATTGTTCATAGCTATTGCAAGTTTCAAACACAAAACACAGAAACCAAATTAAGTAACTTCAAAGCTTGCATGAGTATTACTACAATACCATTCAGAGAGAGCTGATTGCCAGTCACTATCTCATATCACTAAATCGCCGAAGACCCAATTAGTTCGTCAACCCACTTGAAGAAAAAGCAAAGAGCAATAACTGCAGAGCTAACCTGGGAATGTCGACTGAAATGGGCAGGGAAGCATACTCGTCTTCTCTCGTTGAAAATGAAGATCGAATACAAATCGATGACAAAAACCGGCGCCGACCCATGGAGAAAGGCAATGGAAGAACGATTCCATTTCCATGGAATGACGATGATGAATTCTGCAGGGAACAGAAATCGGTGCAGGCAGACATCTGCATTTGCTACAAGCTTCACAAAGAAACCGACCCAAATGGCTAAAGAACTAGCTAACGGTATGCAATGTACCAAGTACAAAATCTCGAGTAGCAGAAGGGTGCGGCACAAGAAAAGATAAGGCTTTGGTGGTGGTGAAACCTGAAACGCATTAACCCGGCAATGCAATGGCTATGACGGAAATTTCCTTAGCCGAGATTTGAGAGTAAAATTACATCAATCATCGATTTGGCCCTAGTTTTCGTGGAACCAGAGATTCCACGCGGCCCAAAATTCTTCTACAATTCAAAGGTCCTAGGTTGGCCCAAGTAACAAGGTCGGTCCAACTTAATTGGGCTAAGCTTTGGTTTGCTATCCAGTTGGGCTAGTCTGATTTGAGTTCTCGTATGATATAACTACTAATCAAAGTATCAAACCATACAATCAACAGTATCATTTATAGCTGAAAAGTAAAACTACTACCACTATTCAAAATTCCTTGCCCGTAGAGTGATTTAAGGAGTCTGACATGGCAGTCCATTTAGGCGGGATATTTTTCCTTTTCCGCAACCTGCAACCGTCCTCCTTCCTATTCCTTTTCTCATCTCCCATCTGAAAGAACCCCGAATCTGCCCCGCTCTCTCGCATCTTCCTCCAACGCAGGTGAACACACTACATAAAATTCCCAATTCGAAACAATTGACAAGCGGCATCCCTAATTACAAGAAAATAGATGAAGCTATTGGCTAACTGAGTACTTGAGAGTTCGGATATTGCGCTTGGGAGTGCGGCGAGGGGTCTGGGCGGCGAAGCGGTGGTGGACGAGCGGGGCTTCGATCAACCCCAAGGGTCTTCCCCATTTCCGTCAATCGCGGTCGAAGAAGACAATGAACACATCTCGCAAATCAGGAACTTCGATCAGAGAGAGGGTAGGAGCAAGCTAAGTTTCTTTCCCTCCGTTTTGTTAGCGAATATGGAACCCAAGAACTGGAAATTACCGGCGAGGCTTGATTTTCTGTAGTGTGATTCTTTTTATTACTATTACTCTGCCGCAGTGGAATCAGAATGTGATGGCGATAAGATCCCAAATCCCGGCAGCGATGAAACTGCAGGGCCGCCGGTTTCGGACGAACATGGGGCAGTATCTTCTCCCCTCGACTTGAACCGGGGGGAGTCTTCTTCTCCGAATTGCGCACAGGGAACCGCCATTTTCGAATTAGAACCGTATTTGGGCCCGGAATTCGATTCAGAGGTGGAAGCGGTGGAATTCTACTGTGCATATGCGCAGCGGGTGGGTTTCGCAATCCGGATGGGGGATCTGAATCGGGCTCGAGATGGATCGGTGATCTCGAGGAGGATTGTTTGCAACAAAGAGGGGTATAGGAAGTCCCATAGGTATCAGCAGAAGCAGAACTTGGGGATAAGTGCTGCAGAGCGGAAGCGTCGCCATCGGGCTGTTACTAGGGTTGGATGCAAGGCGAAAGTAGGGTTCACGAGGCAGAAATCTGGGAGATGGGTTGTGAAAATCTTGGTGAAGGAGCACACTCATCCGCTGGCTGCTGCCACCCAGCTTCAAGATCAACGTTCGATAGGGACTCGCGTCTATCAAATTCCGGTTCGTTCCTTTCTCCCTGCTATTTTTATTCTCTAGTGTTCTCTTTAGGCTCTTAGCATCTAGCTGAAACAAACTGCCACCTTCAGCGGTAGATGTTGTATGGAAGCCATTAGGAAATTGTAATAGGAATGAAGCATGCTTGATCTTCGAATGTTTCAATAGGAAGTGGAGACAGAAGTCATTCATCTAACTAGGGCTTCCCATGTTGTTCATTTTGGGATAATCCTTATGATCATTTGTAATGTGTCTATGTCAGGAAGTAACCTCCAGATCATGAGGTGCTCACTGGCGCTTCTGATTGTTCTTTTTCTTCATTTCTTTTTTGTTAGAAGCAATATGGACTGTCAGATTCTTCTTTTCAGTCGTGGACATGTCTTAACGGACTCTTTTGATGAGGGTTCGAATTATGAGGAGTAGGTTTTGTGCAATAATGAGTGCATTCTTCCTGAATTGCTAGAAGGATCATTCGGGTTCGTGTTGTATACGATAAGAGTTTGTTAGTGTTCCTACAGCAGGGAATTAATTGCTTAGTTAGATTCAAGTTTATTCTTCTTTAGAAGTCGAGACACTATCATCTCCTTTTCTTTCATGCTGATTGTTTACAAAGGGATAAAGTTTGAGACTTTTGACTTAGATGTTTAGAACTCCAGTCATGTAACATGCAACGAACCTTTTCTGCACACTTCCAATTAACAGCTTGCGTTTCCTTTTCATTATCTTCTTCATTTTGTTAATGGGATTACTGGCTTTTGCTTTTTCAGGCTGCTGATGAAAGGATCCGCCAACTTAGTGATGAGCTGCTAATGGAAAGAAAACGTTCGGCATCACTCCGAGGATATGTAGATCAGCTACTGAATCACATTGAGGAGCATACAGAAGGGCTGACCCGAAAGATCCAACACATAGTAGAAAAAGTAAAGAAGATCGACTCTGAAGGGAATAACAGTGATGAGCTGCTAATGGAAAGAAAACGTTCGGCATCACTCCGAGGATATGTAGATCAGCTACTGAATCACATTGAGGAGCATACAGAAGGGCTGACCCGAAAGATCCAACACATAGTAGAAAAAGTAAAGAAGATCGTATAGCCAGGTGTCGTTCTCTTCCGATTTTCCGAAGTAGCGGTTCCCGATGAAGGAGAAGGCGTTCAATTCCTCTACTATGTCCAGGAATCTCTTCCAATTGGTGTTGTCATCTGCGCGAATCGACTTTACTTCAACTCCCTATTCAAAACACTTGCAGCCAACCGGCGATTCTTCTTACCCGCTGACCGACGCGGGCACGTTCCAGCTAGCACCATCGATTTTTGATTCTCGACTTCCCTTGGATAAAAGGCCCTCTTCTGTTCCAACTCCTTTTATCAAGGTAAACTGACCAGAATGCAGAAAGTGTGGCCCCCTTTGTGCAATTTTGAGTTCATGAAGCTGTTAGTGTTTACGCAAAGCATTGACTTATGAATCTAGGGATGTTCCATAGTGGCATGCTGATTTTTTTTTTAACTTAGTTCTTTAACCAGACACAACCATGCTGAAATGGCATCCATGTAAAGAACTTCTGCTACTAATATCCTTAGCTATTCATCCCTACATAGATGGAATGTAAAGTCCATATGGTGGTTGTGATGTTGTCATCTCCATTTCATGTTTGAGTCCAAGATTATCAACTATCAAGATTATGAAAATCTAGACTACTTTTTCTTACTTAAAGTTACTCTTACTTAAAGTTGCATACCTGTGAATGATCTCCCAGACCCTAGCAATGTCGTGTAACTTGAAGTAGATTGATCCTAACTGTATCTTTTTTTTTGGTGTATGGGAACAAGAGACAAGTTCTTCCATTTGTTCCTAATCTTCTTCATTCTGTACAGGTACTATGCTTCTTCATCTATAAGTTTGGTGGTTCAAACAAAGTTCTTTTAGTAACTGCTCGATAAGTAGCTTTTGGCGGGAATGATAATATTTGATGAAATAGGAAACTAGAGAATCTTCCATTGTCTTATGAAGTTGAACAAAAGTGCAGGTTGAATGAACTTTTCCTGATAAGAAACGGCCAATGTGAAAGATTTCGAGTCAATTGGCATTTCTGCGGCAGAGTTGGTGATAGTGAAGAATTTGTTTTTTCATTTAAGGCAAGCTCAATGCACGTTCTTGCAACTATGGATCTGCTCAAAGCCTTCACAATAACATAATCTACCAATTTGTTCAATTAACTCCTCTTTTGTTTGGTTTATCATGCAGTTCATTGAACTTCAATTTACAACATTTTTTCCCCTGTAGGTGTACTGCAGGTATTTGAGAGCTAGAACAAGGATCATATTTGTTTGACCCGGATTAGTACCGGGGATTAGTGTGGAACCTTGATTCGGACTCCCTCGTCTGATCTCCTCGGGAGTGGAAGAAACCTGTGGAGAGTCAGGGGCGGCCCCCGTGATCTACACTCCGACGCCCAAGTTAGAATAGGATATATGATAGAGTGTAGAGAGAAATGTAGAGAGAGATAGGGTTTAGAGAGAGAACCATAAGTGGTGAAATGAGGGAAGGGAGAGAAGTCCCTTTGCTTGGAGGGTCTGGCCTCCTTATATAGGAGTCGGAGGCATCCTGTGGACGCCTCCCGTTGTCATGGACGCCCCCGGTAGACTGGTCGCCCCCCGTCGATGGACGTCTTCCGGTGAATGGTCGCCTCCCGGTGGTGGACGCCCCCGGGTAGGCTGGACGCCTCCCGGTGATGGACGCCCTCCGGATGGACTGGACGCCTCCCGGTGTACTGGACCCTCGAATGGGCTCGGGTCCAAGGTGAGACGCTTTGTGGTGGGCTTGGGCCCGTATTAGGCGGGTTAATACTAGACCCAACATTTGCCCCTTTGCTTCTTGTATTCTGTAAGAATGGAAGGAGTAAAATAATGCGTTAAGGTGTATTAACTTGCCTTACTTGCGAGTCCGCATGATGCGGTTTTGCCCCTTGTGCGACCATTGCTTGGTGATGGATGCCCCTGGTGATGGACGCCTCCCGATGGTTGAGACGCCTCTCGGTGATGGACGCCTCCGGGTGATAGGATGTCTCCCGGTGATGGGCGCCCACGAGTGGACTGGACCCTTGCGGGTCCAAACGATGCGGTTTGCCCCTTGTGCGACCATCGTCTTTGCTTCTTAGCTTAGCACTCGATGTCTTGAGTTAGAGCTCTCAAGTCGTTTGAGATTTCCCCACTAGCCCATTGCCGAGCGTGCTAATATGTAGGCCGTAACTGTGAGCTGTATGCGTTAAGCTGTTGGACCGCGAGATGGGCGTGAGCTTGTGTGCATGTTAAGCGTGAGTTGTTGGCTGAATATTAGGCGTTAGCTATGTGTTAGGGAGGGTGGCCCCCCACGACTTGAGGGTTGTGACTCAAGACGTTGTTTGTGTCTTGGCGATGTCGCACCTACTGGAGGCAGGATCGTGTTTCTAGATGTACCAATGTCGCGCTTACGGGTAAGCGGAATTGGACTTCAAACACGGGTGGAAGCATCACTCTGGGGTGGGATGCATTTTTCCTTATAGGAGGTAGCTGCAGAATGGTCTAAGTTCTTAGAGTCGCATTCGGGTTCATAGAGTGGTCTTGTAGCGTATTGGTATGCACTTCAGCCCATGAGTGCGGACCCGATTTGAGGGCGGCCTGAATCTTTCGTGAGACGCGGGATGTGAACTGTTGAAGCCGCGACCCAATGCAGCAGTGAATAATCCGGATGTGTGAAGCGGATCGCCGTTGTTGGAGCAGATTGGATGCGAAGCGTGCTAACCGCTTTAGCGGATCTCCAGAGGCGGTTGTAGGTCAGATGCAGTGTACGGAGACGATAATTGCACATGGGCGTGTCTTGTGAGGCGGTCTTAATGAAGGCGTCTCACGATGATTGTCCCGGATGCATGGCAGGCTAATGCGGTCTTTGAATCTGGACATAGATTGGGCTTTGTGGCAAAGCGGGGTTGAGAGTTTTAACTCTAAACGCTCTTGTGTCTTACTAACGTCGTGCCCATGTATGTTGGGAGCTCATGTGCCTTGTCACTGTCCTACCCGTGTGAGGCATGATCAAGTTTTTCCTTCTTGCCAATGTTGTCCCTACTAGGAGGTGTTCGGTGTTCTTGCCTACTTGGAGGGGTTCTTCCTTCGATCTCTTTGGGAATTTTGGTCCTTCTTTCTGAGAAGCGCTTTAATCTTCCTGCTTTCTGGGAAGCGTAGTCTTTCGAATTTCTAAATGGTATTTTAGTCTTCTGATTTTGAGAAGTGCATTGGTCTTTCGGCTTCCTAGGACGCGCTTATAGGAGGAGTGTGTTAGTCTTTCATTCTGTGGGAGGCGCACCACATTCAAGCCTGTTAGGAGGCGCTTCCATATCGGGAGGGACTTTGCCACCAACCTTGTGGGAGGCGCTCCGCCTTTCCACCTCAAAGGAGGCGCTCTGTCTTCCAGCCTGCTGAGAAGCATGCGTTCTCGAGTTTATCCTGGAGGCCAGAGATGTATTCGAGCATCGCCTGGAGGCGCGAAGCATTCCTTGGAGGGAGCCTCGCTCGGAAGCAGTTTCCAAGCCTTGCCCAGAGGTAGAAGGCATGAATGGGAATCGTTCCTCGGAGGGAGAATTACTTGGAAGCGGGAAGCATTTCCAAGAGGGTGCGTCGCTCGGAGGCGACCTACGAGCCTTGTTCGTAAGTGGAAGGTGTGTGCCTTGTATCCTGTTGGTAAGCATGAATGTTTGTAGCACCCCGAATGCGGTTTTGAGTAATGCGGGCATGCGGCTGGAAGTTGGATGGGAGGTCAAACGAGTGCGACGCAATGCGGGTGGCGAGTTTTGGGGTTGGGTCACGTTTGACAAAGTTGGTTTGAAGCATTCAGTATGCGTTTGTACTTGATGAGCCTCGTGGGCCGAATGCATTTGATGATGAAAGTTGACTGCGTAAGCCATTGGAGGCGGGCAGGTGAGTTGAATGGAATTTGTAAATGGAGCAATGTTAGACTTTGACGAAGGCAGGCAATGTTATGCGGTTACGGGCTTCATCTTGGGGCGTGATAGTTGCTATGCGATTCCTCCTTTGGGACGCGGTCTTTGAACGTCGAATGCGAGTCTTGCGAGTAGCGGACCAAATGAAGTAAGCGTAAGTTTGGTCAGGAGGCATGCACTCCTTTATAGCCCATTGTTGTCTTATGCGTTAGCTATGTGCTAGATAGGGTGGCCCCCATGAATTGAGAGTTTTAGCTCTAGACGCTCGTGTGTATCACCAGTACCACACCTTCTGTTGGAAGGCGGGATCGGGTTTTTGCCGCTTTGTTGCTATGCTTGGAGTATCCATGGTCGAATCTAGTCGAACGCGTTTGTTATGAGTCCCGGTGCGACTTGCGGCATAGAATACAAGGTTGACTAGGCCCTTGTTAGGCAGACTTGGGATGGTGCTTTCTTCGCTTTTATCGGGAGGAGTTTCTCCTTCCCGATCTATTGGGTGGTGGAGAGTGTTATTTTCTTGAACGGTCGTTTGATGCATCTCGCGCTTTTCTTTTAAACCTCTCGAAAGGTGTTTCTCCTTTGAGCCTGTCGGAGGGCATTTTTCCTTTAGGCCTGTCGGAAGGCGTTTCTTCTCAAGCCTATCAGTAGGCGTTTGGGCCTGTCGGAAGGCGTTTCTCCTTCAAGCTGGTCGGGAGGCGTCTCCATGACGATGACCCGCTTGTGAGAAGCGAGATTGGGCTTTAGCTTCGTGGAAGAAGCATTCCTACGAAGGGAGCACCACTAGAAGGTGGAACATTCCCGTGTTGGGAGTATCGCCCGTCGACTTGACATTTTCGTGAAGAGAGCGCTCGATGGGAGCATCTTCAAGAGGCGGGATATCCTCATAGTCTTTTCGCTTCTAAAAAGCGTGTTAGTCTTCAGCTTCTTGGGCGGACATGAGATACTTCAGACTGCGCCTGGGTAGTACTTTCTCAGGCGCATGTCATTCCATGTTTTTGGAGACTGGGACGCCTTCCATGGTTGCTAGGAAAAAGGTGTTGGGACCTGTTTTGTCTTCGATGAGGGATGGGCCTTCCCAGGTTGCGTCAAGCTTGTCGCGGTTTTACCTTTTCGTTGTGGGTGG